AGAGATTTTCTGAATGTTTGGTAACACAGATGTTGAGCTTGGATTGGCCAGATTGTTCACAATACATTTAGGGCCTCAATGTGCAGTCTGCAGCCCTTGGAATTTCTGCTCAGCCCAGGTTTTTGGATACACCAGCTTGAATGAAATTAAACATGTTAACACCTTTACTTTGTAAATATGTTCAACAGGATGCCCAATCATTCTATAAGTGTACTGAACTGAACTGGCTTACCCTGACCCTGGATCAGGACAGTGGCAGCATCACCTGAGTGGTCCAGATGCATTTAGCTGCTTGGATTCTTGCATCTTAATCCTGTGCAGTGTGGCAATTTTCATTGTGAATATAGTTATGGAAGTAAAACCTCTTGTGACCTGCTGGGTTTACTGTTATTTTCCATTATGCTGACCCTGGAGGGGTTTTCAGATGATGCAAAGTGCATAATGTCGAAACTACAGATTATTGAAGTCTCTGCCCCTGGAATTCAAACCTCTTCCAGCAGCAGCATTGGGTTCCCGTGACTTTGGTTGCAGTTTGCACTTCCACTAGCTGCTGCTTCAGATGGCAATTTAATAGTGTTGTAAGCTAATATATTTTTCTTCATGTTTCCGGTGAAATGTTTTCATTTTTAAACATTTTAAAATGCATGTGGATTTCTGAGCTTTATTTTAAAACTAGTAAATTGTACTTCAGCGTCTGAGAAATTTCTTTTCTGCGGTCACTTTGGCACATCCCATCTATCATAAACTGGGCCTCACAGTAGATGGGAAATGCAGCACTGCCTGGATACCAAAGTGGCCAATGCACCTTGTGGAACCAACAGAAGCCACAAATGGGTTTTCTGCTGTGTAGGGTTTGCAGTGGTTAGTACTCTGTGCCCCAAGAAAACTCTGGGCATGGAACTCAGTTTTATGCTATGCGTATGCGTGTGTGTGTGTGTGTGGTCTAGCTTTCCACAGCCTTGCACTGTCTAGATACGTTGAATTACCACTCCACTCGGTGAGTCTCCAGACGGTGTGTTCATGTTTATCTACTTTTCTCTTTGTTGTACTATTAAGAGTAAGCCTATATTGTGCAATGTGGTGATATTAGCATAATTTCAGGGCTGGAATTGTGGGAGGGCTTCTTCACATATCTACAGCTCCCTGGTTTCTCCATTCCTTAAATAGCAATCTCTGTGTTTGTGTGTTTTGATCTCAGAAATACTTGGTTGACTTGTTGCTCCTCATGAATCAGATTTCCTGTTTTCCTCCTCCTCCCTGCTCAGTGGTTTCCACTGACGGTTCAGCCAGGATCCCTTCTGGCTTCTATTTCAAAAGTGCCAAATTGTGCAATGCACCTTGAAATACTCAGAATTGAAAGGCACATGATGAAACAGTCTTGCTGGAGTGAGGCAGATCCACTGATTGGGGATGAACGCCCTTGAGTTCTGTGGTACTGCAGATCCATATATCCTTCTTCAGGAATCTGTACTACGTAAACGTAGCCAGTAATCTGTGTTTTCCCATAGCTTTACTAGAGGAAGGTGCTTCTGAAAGCATCTCATTCCCTTTTGTAAACTAACTGTGTAAAGTTGTGGAGTAAATCTCAGCGCTAGGATCACATTCGCCAATTCTTTTCTCAAGCTTTTATTCTAGAAGCCTTGGCATGATTAGAGGATAATGCAGGAAAAAAATAAAAAATAAAATGCACACAAATATACCTTTAAGTGAGGTATATTTGTCCTATTAAATTAACTTTTCAAAAAAGGATCCTGTCACCTGTCTGTTTTCCTAAACAGCTAAGTATGTTGCCTGAATGATGAAAAAGGAAGTGGGAACTTTGTGTTAGTTCAAGGAATATTGTCATCCGATATGAAGAAAACTAGTCTGTGTCCATTGGAGAAATGACACTGATTCCTTTCCTCCTTCCTGAGATACATTTTATTTTCTAAATCTTAGTTTGATTCTTTTTCTGCAAAACTTTATGTTTAGACAGTTGGAGCACAAGAAAATTCGTGTGATCTCTTCCAGTACTCCTTGCTATTCTGTTGATTTTTTGTTGTTATTCTTTTTCACAATGGCAGAAGAGATCTAATGAGTTTCCTGCATATGGGCTTTTATGCCTGATGCCCAGTTTTATAGCTTCTGTTAACAGTCTGTGTGTGTGTGCGTGCGTGTGTGTGACAGAATGAAATGTAGGATTCACTTCCCTGTTTAGCTTTGGAAACAAATGTTTTGATTTTTTTTTCTTTCAAATCCATGGCTTCTTTGGCATATTGGTACCCGATGATTTGTTCTTTTACTTACCTACTCCTAACTAAGGCGCTCATGAAAGATTTTGTACAATGGGTGTAATGAAAGCCCAGCTCTTTCTTCATCCCAGTGAAAAAGAGGCAATTAGGAGCAGAGGAGTAGGAGGTAGAAGTGTTGAGGCCTCCTTCCTGTATCTCATGGAGAAATTGCGGGTCTCCCTTGTTCCTTTTGTACCACCGGATTCAGCTGGATTCCAGAGCTGCAGCGGTGTTTATGCTCTTCTTTGAAATCTGGTGGGGTTTATTTCTAAGTAAACAAATGGGGGATGGGCCATCCTGTACTTTTTTCCCAAAGTGGTACTAGAATTGGGACAGGAAACATACCTGGCATGGTTTACATTTTTCAGTAGAAGAATGCAGGTATTTCTTCTGGCTCTTGCCTTCAGTCTTTCTTTTTGATGGCTGCCTTTTTTTTTTTTAAACTGTGGCTAGTTAAGTGCCTTTCATTATCTTGTGAACTGAGAACTTTCCTGCAGTTTCAGTACATTATAAGGTGTGATTTACCTTCCTTGCCCACAGAGTACTGAGATATGAATCTGCTTTTGCCCTGGGCTCTAACATGCGGGTAACTTGAGTTAGCCCTCCGGACCGAAGGCACGATAAGACACCATGCACAGGACTAATTATGCACGTTCCCTGCTCTTCATTTTGGAGTTTTATATGCTGATTTTATTGCATCATACAGTGTAATAAACCAGCTGTGCAGATAAGAATAAACATTTACTGCCTCTCTGTACACGGTTTCTGTGTATATGTTGATGAGTGTGACATCTTAATTAAAAGAGGCCTTCTCTTGTCTCTAGAACTGGGATGCCCTAGCTACTAGTGACTTTGGAAAATTATGCAGGGCTAGACCTGCTCAGGATTTGGAAATCGCAAGTTAGAGTGAGATTAAAAAAAAAAAAAATCTCAGAAGAAGTCGGTGGTAGATACTTCTGTGAAGAAAACTACCTGAACGTGCCTGTAAAGTTACTAGGAGTTGGGCACACTCCACTGAAACACGGAACAGGCCTTGCTAACTATCTGTGAGCCTTTTTTTTTTCTGTGCCATTTGTGGACTTTATAAATATATAAATATAAATCACAGCAGGCATGAACAACCTGTGACTTACCTCACATGGATGAATTACAACTTGAGTATCTCTCTTCCTGGAGTTCAGCCCCATATGTGGAGGAGCAGGTTAAATCACTACCTGGAGGCTGGTGGAACAGAGAAAAGGGTTCTCAGCTGTGGGTGCCTGTTTGTGCTGCTTTAATGGCCAGGCCTAGACTGGGTTAGAAATGGGGCTCTGGCCATTGCGCAGTGCAACCCTTGGGATGATCTAAAGCTGCTTCTCAGATTCTAAAATGCTTTACCAAACTTTTTGGCCAAGGACGGAATTAAAAACAGTCTGGAATCTCCCAAGGGCAAAGCGACTGTTTGCCATAATGTGGTTTTGGGAAGAATTTAGCTCCCAATTTGCATTGGGGTTTTTTCCCCCACTGTTTGTGGGGAAAATGAAGCCCTGCCTTCCATCTCAGTCACATGCTGTGTTGCTAAGAAGGCCAGAAAAGGCAAGTATTTTTGAGGCCTGACACAGTCAGACTTATCAGGAGGCCTAATTACAGATATCACTTCAGTTGCAGGAATAAATCACCAGATCATAAGAGAATGAGTGCTCTTTGACGATAAGCTGACAGATTGCTGCAACTGTTGGAGCAGCTCTGTCTCTAGCAAGTCAACTCGTGTTCTGGTATTTTCAACAAGCAGCTGCTACATAAAGTTTAATTTTGATTCGTGCTGCAGTTGCAACTTCATGGCCCTGTAGAGACCCTGTTTCTGCTGAGTTTACACATTTACTTGGCGATTCATCAGTAAACTAATAATCCACTAGGGCCTCTTTAAAAAGGTTAATTCCCTACTAATGTAATGCTTTGCTTTTAATGAAAGTAATTTGTCATGTACTTTCTATATTTACCATGTGATATATGTTATCTTTCTCCTTGTCAGATAGCGTCTTGATGGAAGTTTTGCAATCTTGATATAGGAGGATCAGGGGAAGATAGAAAACTTTGCATGGGCCTTGTCCCAGGCAGTGGACCAGGAACTGTTGCATATGTGTATACTTCTGTGAAGCAAGGCATGGAGTGGGTACCAGGAGTCTGAGCCCTGGGGTTATTTTCCTGTGGTGGATGCTGTGGCGTCTGTGATCTGGGGAACTAGCCAAAGTGTGTTATACTGAGCAGCAAATGGCACTGCAGGGAGGAGAGGAAATGATTTCAGCAGAAGTTGCTCCAAGCCAGCAGTCCAAAGCGGCGCCATGTTGTCTGTATCCATAGTTCAGCCCTCCTTCTGGTACTTTATCTGGCAACTAGAGCTGTTCAAAATGCTTTATCTGTGTCTGGATTAGGTGCCTGACGAAGGGCTCTTGAAACTCTACAGTTTGCACATTATTTTATAGCTGTGAAGGTACTGCTGTAAATGGGGTTTGGATTATTTTTCATGACCAATCTTGGCTGTTTTGCCTGTAGATGATTTAGTTATTTAGGTGCCATTGAGTCGAGCTCAGTTCCTGGTGACTTTGGGAGCAAATGCATGATTCCTTCTGCAATTTCAGGAAGGTGGCTCATTTCATGGATAGATTGGATGTTAAATTTGGATTTGACCATCTTTCCAAATGCAAGAAAGCCATTACCATGGTTACTAATGGGATTTTCCCCCCCTTTTAGGTCAAGCTTTCCAGTTTCTTTTGCACCTTTTATGAGGAGAGGAAATGACTTTATCAGAAGTTGCTCCAAGTTGGTCGTTCTTGCTCTGTCTTCCTATCAAAGGGACTTGCAGAGAGGAAAACACTGCAGCCGATTCCTGAGGACTTTTGGGAGGAATCTGCCTTGACTGAGCAGGAGATAAAAATGACAACTTCATCGATTAGGCGGCAAATGAAAAACATTGTGAACAATTATTCAGAGGCTGAGATAAAAGTGCGAGAAGCAACTTCCAATGATCCCTGGGGTCCATCCAGCTCCTTAATGACTGAAATCGCAGACCTGACTTACAATGTGGTGGCCTTCTCTGAAATTATGAGCATGATCTGGAAGCGGCTGAACGACCATGGCAAGAACTGGAGGCATGTTTACAAGGCTTTAACACTTTTGGATTACCTGATCAAAACTGGGTCAGAGAGGGTGGCACAGCAGTGCAAAGAGAATATCTTTGCTATCCAGACTTTGAAAGATTTTCAGTATATTGACCGGGACGGGAAGGACCAGGGCATCAATGTACGGGAGAAGTCCAAGCAGTTGGTATCCCTGTTGAAGGATGACGACCGGCTCAAGACCGAGAGGGCCCAGGCCTTAAAGACCAAAGAACGCATGGCTCAGGTGGCCACTGGGGTCGGTAGCAATCAAATCACCTTTGGCAGAGGATCCAGTCAGCCTAATCTGTCCACCAGCTACTCTGAGCAAGAGTATGGCAAATCTGGAGGCTCCCCGGCTTCCTACCACGGGTGTAAGTGCAAGTTACGGGCTAGGGCTCTGGTGTTCTTCCATACTCTGTGCGTCTTCTGATTTGTGGGTGGATAAAAGGGGTCTTTGAACCAGCTACGTAGGCCTGGTGAGTGGCCCTGGTTTGGGAGGGGCTTTTACTCAACAGAAAGTTCTCATTTGGATGATCTCTGGAACAGAATAATGGTCCTGAAGTCGGATGGGAAATATTTCTTCCACTCTTAGCTTCCTGCAGGTGGTTATGATTTTGAGTGTTATTCTGTTGCAGAGAATTCTGTCGCAGCTTTAAAGATTGAGAAATATCTCGAACTGTTACAGGTGAAAGGTTACATGAAACAAAGTTTGTTAGTGTACAGATGCTTTGACTGGTAATAATCATTTTCTAAGGTAATGGCTGTGCATCTGTGGGAAGTGTGGTTGCCATTTATTTTTTCACTTTAGGTAACATTTACCAGACACAAATAGTGGGAAGCAACCCAAAGGCTCGGACAGCTAAAATATCCTCCTGGAAGTGTGTGGAAAGTCATTACTAGTTTCTGGGATACTAGAAGGGACAGAATCTGGCCTGAACGACTGCTAAGAGTTCGGATGTTTCTACACGACAGCCAGCCAGGGGAATTCTGTGAAAGAGCAGACCTCTGTCTTTGACTTCCTTATAGTTGGGGAATCTGGATGTTTCTGAAAGCAGTAACAAAGCAGGTCTTAGGGTGTCAAAATTGGATCTACTCAGTGCCATCTTGCATAAACATCTGAGTTAACGATCATGCGCTTTGTAACAGAATAACAAAGAACCTCTTCATGTGTTACAAGGCAACCGTTTAGGCTGGATCAGTGCGAGGCAAGCTTTTCCCTGCAATGCTGGGATGCTTTGGCAATTTAAGGAATTGCAGGGTTGGCTAGAGTGGTGGTAAGCTGCCATTACTGGCATCTTAATGACACTGTCGACTTCGTTCAGGGATTTAAATGTTGAGCGAAGGTAGTGATAGGTCAGTTCAATTTACAGACACAGTTTTATAAAATTCAATGGAAACTGCATTGGGGTAGTCAGCACATCTTAATCTGAAATACTGCTATGATTTTAAATCCATGAGAAATTTTAAGTAGTGCCTTAAAAACAACTTAAAGTTAGCTGAATGTGGAAACTGAGGGAGGTAAACTGTTTTAACCAGATTTACTCAAGCCAACCATGCTGAATTCTGAAAGCTTTACTCTCTCCTCAGTGTGCATAGAATCATCTCTTATTTTTACCAAGTACTTCTGATCTGGATCCAGGGAAGGATTATATTTTACTTTGTTTGACTTTGGACCCAAATAAATGCCTCATGGGTTGAAACATGGCTGGGAAGTTTACCGTTACTGTACTTTATTTATTAGGAGAGGAAACAAAATACCAGGGAGATCATAGCTTTTTGACAAGTTTCTTTATGTAGAGACCCTGGGCATGTCATTCCAGCTTTACTTAGAGAAGATGCCTGGGATTGAACCCTGGGCATTTCTGTATGTTGAATGTGCACTTTACCACTAAACTCCAGGCATGCAGTGGGGTGCATATCAGCATAGCAAACCATTTCCCGCCATAAGAGCCTCATCGCTGTTGGTGTGCCACTATGCACTATTTTTTAATGCCATGGAATGGGGCTTAACATCTGCATCCTCTGTCTTCATTCTGCCCAACAACCCTGCTGTATTAGAGGGACAGCAGTTCTGCATTCAAGGTCCTGCCAATTCAGAGTCTGCATTCAAGATAGCCAGTGTCAGTCTTATGAGTCTGGCCTCTGGATTTCTGCCTAATCAGATTCCCTTGGCACCCCATCTGATTTTCAGATCTGTCTGCATGTGCAGCATGTTGAATGGGAAGCCTCAGCCCATGCATCCTGTGACTTTTGGGGAGAGGACAAGTTAGGGAACAGCAAGAACCACCATCTTTGGAATCCTCTGTCCCCAGCCACTCCCATCCCCAAATAGCTATGGCTGCAAGTCTCATGTTTACTTTTCCTCAGCCAGCTTTCAGTTTTATCAGTCTTCAGCTGGCTCTTCTTTGGCAGCTTACAGTTCTGGGTTGTTGTATATTTCTACTAAAATGATTACTGTCATGTATTGTTTTGAGTTGTAACCTATCTGCCCAGGGCACCTTACAGTTAAAAGGTGGATGAGAAGTATCATCACCTTTGCCTCAGTTGTGGAAGTAGCTCAGACTGCAGAGGGTGGCTCATGGGGAGAAGAAGAGTTTGCAACAGCAGAGCTGCTCCGATAGAGCCATGCTTGTGCTTATGTTTCCCCACAGCTACATCACCTAGAGTGTCTTCAGAACTGGAGCAGGCACGACCTCAGACAAGTGGGGAAGAGGAACTCCAGTTGCAGCTGGCTCTGGCCATGAGCAGAGAAGTTGCAGAACAGGTTGGTTTCTTGCAGAGCAGCCTCATCTGCTACACTTTGGGTTGATCAGCCATCCGCACTGGAGAGGGGAAGTGAGGAAAAGGGGACTGTGAAGAGCAAAGGAAGGAATCTCTGATCCTTCAGGTGCAGCTGAACTACAGCTCCAGCCATCCATCCCCCCCCCTCCAATTTTTGGCTTGGTTGGTTGGAATAGCAGGGGAATTAGTTCTACAACATCTTGGGGGCCATGTCCTCACCACCCCAATTTCCCTATTAAGTGATTGAAGTTCAGGTGAAAATCACACTTGAAAACCTGCCTCCCAGCTTGGCTGTCACGGTTAAGCAAAGAGCTGATGATCCGTGGAAGCAGATGACAGTTGTTATGAGTTAAGTGTGATCAAAGGAAAGCTGCAGCCATTTTATGAATGGATGTGAATCGCCCTTTGGACACACTGGAGCTATTAGTCAAATCCTAAAACAAAAACAAGGTCTAGAATCAGGTCTTAACAGTGTCAGTTTTCCAATCTGGCCTTTAAAACATTAAACTGATGAGTATGGCAAGTTCTGAATCTTTGAGGCACCCACGCCCCAGCAGATGGTTTGAAGCAGGACTGGAAAATTGGCATTTTAACTTCTTTGTTTTTGGTACATACTACATCAGTAATCAAAGGACTTGATTAAAGTTTGAAGGGCATGAAAAAAGGTATAGGGCCATCTGTTATCAGTGGAGAGGAGAGTATCTTTCTTGATGTGACACCCATCCTCAGCAAAGCCCTCCCCAATGAAATCTGTCTTTTGCCTCTGTGGTTAGGTGAAAGGAATCAGGACGGCAGTTGAATTTTGCAAAACTATACTGTGTTGTTAAGATGGGATATCTGAGTGCTGTGCTGCTAGATAACAAAGCGGTTACCTGTTTTTGTAATTTGGCCGGAGGTGTTGGCTGTAGTGTAGACTGGGAAATTCAGAAGACATCTTGGGAAAGGTGGCAGCAGAGCGCTCCCTATCATACGAAGAAAATGGCATGGATGAGTCCTCCTAGCCACTAGGAGTTGAGCTCAGCTTCAAGGTGGCTTTACTTAAGTAATTGTGGAAACCTGTTTTCAGCCTCCAACTCCTCCTTTACGCAGGAAGAGCGCCTTCGCCGTGGCGACGATTTGAGATTGCAGATGGCTTTGGAGGAAAGTCGCAGAGATACCATTAAAATTCCCCAAAAGAAGGAGGTAGGCATTTTGCTTCGTAAAGAATTCTCAGACCTAACAGGGAAGGTGGGGTATATTAGAAATGGGACCAGATGCTCAGTATTTGATACGAATATGTGTATGTGGAAGACAGAGTGTTTATCGTAAAAATATCTTCCATACTGGGATAAAAGCCCAAGTGAGCAGCTGAGGGCATGTGAAAGAGTGAAATGATGCTTTCCCCCCCCCCCCTTGCTCTCCTCTCTTCCTTTTTGAAAAAGATGATTTGTGGATCCTGCAAATGTTTGTGCACAGCTAAAAATAACCCTTGTCCGCAGCACACGGCTTTGCTGGATCTCATGGATGCCCTGCCGTCCTCGGCCACCCCTGCCCCAAAAGGAGAGCCTTGGAAGCCGCCAGCTACAGTAAACCAAGCCGACCCTTGGGGGGGTGCGGCAGTCAGCACTGCCACCTCAGATCCATGGCAATCGTTCGGTAAGAACGTGGCGAAGGGGTGCTTGTCCTTCTCTCTTGCTGCCCTCTTCCGCAGAGACCTCGGGGTAGGACAGCCTGCGTAGTTCCCTGAAAGTGAGGCTGTCCTTGTAGTTGGGTGCCTTTTTCTCTCCTCCTCCTGCATACCCAGCCGAGCCGATAGTGGACAAGTCCACTGGTTGTTAGCCCTGGTTTATTTCGAAGAATGTATGCAGTGCTCTTCGCTAGGAACGTTTCTAGGTCATTGCAACAAAACAGGAAGCTGTAGAGGAAGTAGTAAAACAAATTTTAGGAAAAGTAGAAGCAAAGGCAGTGCGAAAGCAGTAAAAAAAGAACGTGGGAAAGAAGCCAGCAAGAATAGCCATCCAGGGAGCGCCCTTTAGGAGAGCATCTCATTGATGGAACGCCACACTTCCCTGATTTCCTCGGCTTTTCGCCTCCGCTTTGGCATCGTGTCTGAATGGGCATTCCCTGTGTTGAATGGCCTCTCGTGGGTGCCTGAGCCATCACTTGTTTACCATGTAAACCAGAAATCCCTGATCAGAAATTTCCCAAGGCTGAGAGGAAGCATTTTGCCTCTTCCACGGGGACAGTGATAGCCTTCAGCTGACTTCCGGAAAACTGGTAATGGGAAGAAAGAATAAGTGTTAATGGAATCGGTTGTTAAGGTGGTTCAGAACTGTGTGTTGTCAACTGGCAGTTTGGAATCTCTTGGTGGTTTAACTTTTTTTTCCTGCTGGTGGTAGTAATTCCTGTTCTGATGATTGTAAAAATAAAAAAAGGGAGGGGAAAAAATAAGATAACTGTAGATGTGCAGACTTTTAAAAAGATATCCTAAAATGTAGCCAAAGGTACTGAGGGATTAGAGGAAAGGTTGCAGTGCAGAGTGATCTTATCTCGGGAGTAAAAGAGGATGTGATGGAGGTGTGGATGGAAGAAAGATTTCTCTGTCTCTCCTGCTCTTAGTCTCTGAGGTCACTCAGCGAAAAGAAATGTTGCAAAAGGCAAAAGGAAGCCGTTTCCACAGGACACATCCTTCAGTTTCGGAACTGGCACAGATTGGGTCAGCTTTATTAGTCATCTTGTTGTGCACTAGTTCCATAGTCAAGGCAGTGGCTGGGACCGCAAATGAGAGGATTTTTGTGCATTTATATCCTGTTCATCTGCCTTCAGGGGCCCCTGTTAGCCACAGTGGGAATCGAATGTTGGTCTGAATGGGGCTTCCGTGGACTGAACGATGTGGTTATCAGGATCTGTTTATAGATATGACATGAGATACGGGTGAAGGGATTTTTTTGTTGCATTTTAAGAGAAGGTGTGATAAGTTGTTAAAATCGTTTATACTTGTAATGAAATGGGAAGGTACTTCTTTATATATTTCTTTTCTTTTTCTTTATTATATTTTTACTTTTTTTTCTTTTTCTGCACTTTTTAATATTTTTATTATTTTCTTATTTTTTGTAGTATTAGTTTTTATCTGTTTAACTACAGTGTTTAATAAAATTATTATATAAAAAAATGAATGTGGCTTTGGTTTGTTCTGGTCTTCCCTGGAAGAGGGCTTGAATGGTGGCAGGGATAAAGCCACCTATGAAGCTCTGGCAGGCCTCTAACTCCCATTGCTCTAATTAGCACGTGGCCTGTTTGTAATGCTTCCGGTCGTGAGAAAGGATGTATTTAAACTATTAACTTGGTAGTTGGTATGTTATGTGGTGGAATGTAGATTGAAGCCTGCTTTTAGCTAACCTCTAGGTCAGGTGGTTTTAGGACTTGAAGGATCTTTCAAGATGATCATAAGAAACTATCCATGGCCTTCTGAGAGGGTGGGGAAAGAGCGGGAAGAGGGTTCTATGCTTATGGATTGGGGAGGCATATAGTCCATCCTGGGCTCCATGGGGTAGAGTGTCTTAAGCTCCCTTTCACATATTGGCCTTTTCCCCTCACTGGTCAGTTATTTCTGGATGTAAATGATTCTGTTGAAGAAATCCACTTCTAATTAAATCAGGGCTGAGTCTGGTTTAATCATGTGCCCTGAGAGAGGACCAGTGGGTAGTTGATGTTTTGCATAGGTTGTGTGCCAAGGCCTTTTAGGACAAAGGACTAGGCAAAAAACCCCAGCCACTTTGGAAAATGTCCAGAGCGCGAGACTTATTTATTCAAGGCAGAAGCAGAAGGATTTTCTGCATCCTGTTTTATCTGTAGATGTGCCAACTGATAGGAATATAAAATGCTGCTTTATATTAAATGAAATATAATTCCCTTAATCCAGTGTTGTGGATGCTGCTTAATAGCTGGGGTCTTGGGGTTCAGGGAGGGCTCTTCCCAGCCGTAGTCTTTGGCGTGCAAGGCAGAAGTCCTGCTGCTGAGCTGCGGCTTTTTCTTAAACACAGAGACAGAAAGATTGATGTTCCGTAACTTTTCAGGCAGCTGGGATAGCCATAATCAAGCTATTGTCCAAGGCAGTCCTGGAAATGTTTATGAAATCAACACACAGACAGTCCAGGCAGAATGTTGGAAAACTGGTATGTAGCAGACCTGGCCAGAGATTGGCTACTGGGAGTCAGGGTGGTGGTGGCGGCCGCGGCAGCTTTCTTTCAATGTCTGTCTTCCGGAACCCAAGGCTTTCTCAAGTGGGATGGTAGCAAAATCCAGGGTGTGGCATTCTTGTAAATATGCAGTAATGGAAACGTTTGCATCCAGACTTACTCTGAAACATCTACCTTATAAAGACCTGGATCAAGTGAGGCAAAATTCTGATCATATTTGTGATTAAAATGTGTATCTTAGACAAATGAGCTGCAGTCGATCAGGTGATTAAGCCAGGGCATCAGTTGTTGCTTTTGTCTGGGATTGCCTTTGTAACTAGGGTTGTTGCAACCAGTGGAACTATGCAGTGGAAATTTCTATTTTCCAGAGATAGATAGAACCCCGTGAGGAGACTGTAGCAAAGATTTAAGTGGATCCAAATTTTCTTCAAATCATGTGCTGCTTCTCCTCTTTCCAGAATCCCCAGTTAAACCTTGACGTGCTTTTTTTCTTTTACGCTTTTCATGAGCCTATTTCAGAGTAGAGATGCATGGAGCATATGTGCAAGAGCGGCTTCCAGGGCTAGGGAATTTATTCCAATAAATTCCCAGTCTGTTCAGATCTCAAATTCCCCTTTCACATGCACAGATTGGGAGATTTCTGCTACGGTCTTGTATCCTGGGTGTTGTCCAGCTTTGCTTGGCTGTTAATCCCGTCTTGCTCAGCCCTTTACATTGCTTCCTCATCCATTAGACTTGTAAAGTGGGTTTTTACTATTCCTCATCTTATGGGTGCAGGAATGGCTGCCTATTCAAGCGCTGCAAAGAAAATGTGTTGCGAGGTACATTCCCACACAGAAATTGGCTGGTCTGTTTCATTCCCAGGTCACTACTTGTCATCCGTTAGGCTCGTCCTTGGGTTTTGTTGTAATATTTATGTGTGTACAGTGTAACAAGCTTAAAATGAGCCCTTGCTCTTCCCTTGCACAGCATTTGCTTTAATTGCTCAGCCCTCAGACCAATTTGGCTTTTGCTGCTGGAGATAAAGGGAACATCTGGGAGGGCCAAACGGAGGCCCCTGGGTTTTGGTGATGTAAGGATTTTTTGGAACTTTTTATTCTGAAACCTAGGAAGGTGCAGTCAGTCCTCTGTATTAAGGTTCAAGGAAACACGTGTCCCAGGCTGCAGCTGCAATCCTTACGGGCCTTCAACATTCACTGATTTGATTCATTGATAACAGCCCCTTGTTTTAGCTTGCCAGCTACTTGGCTCCCTAAAATGGTTCTGAAGAAATTAGATTTATGTATCTGAATGCCGGTGAAAAGAGTGACTCAAAGTGGAACAGAGATCTTTAAGTCTCGGTTAGCTGGACCGGGCTTTCAGTGAAATTCAATAAGAGCCTTCTCAGAAGAAGGTCTTGTCCTCTAGACTTGCCATTTCTGCGTCTGCCCGCCTTTGTCATCTGACTCATGAAAGAGCAACTGTTTGGGAGCCTTCCACTTATGGCAGCCCTGGGCAATTAGCATTTCTTGCATGGAATCGTTGATAAATCTGCAGGAAATGGAGGCAGTGGGAAGAGATTAGCTGCTTTTTCTGGAAAGCTCTGCAGTGTTTCCTGTCCTCTGGACATAATGACTGGAAATGAAAACTTGCACCTGTTTGTAAATGTGAATAAATATTTTTGCAGTTCAGAAGTCTTGTGTGTGTTTTTTCAGCAGGGTTCCTTTAAACAGATACACTAAGATAAAACCAACAAACAGAGAGTTTGGGTTTTCATTTTTTTAAATCAATGCACTGAGAAGATGGGATGAATAGTGACTTATTATTTTAATTTTGTGACTTAGTCGTGTTGATGCTGATCAGGAAACTTAATCTTCAAATTTTAAAAATAGTAATTAAAAAAATCAGGCTAGAATCCAGTTTATAATGAAACAGTGTGGTAATATGCATGGATGGGCAGCAGATAGAGCTGGATATTTAGGTGGATATTAAGTGTTTGAGAAGATCAGGAATGATTCTTAATTTCTAATTGTTTAACTTCAGCAGTAGCTGCAGCAGCAAGAAAGGGATTCCTTTGCCCTGTTGGAAATCATGCATCTAAATCTAGGATTTCTCTGTGAAACTACTCAACCAGTTTTGGCTCAGGATCCTTTAATGCTATGTGTATGCTATTTGCACCTGGTTCTGTTGGTGAATTTCTGAGTTGTAATTAAAAAAAAAACCCCAAGAAACAGAACCCTCGAAACTGAAGTTGCCCTCCCCTCGGTAACAGGGTGAGTGCTGGATTTAGATTTAATGTGGCTGTGAAGCTTCAGTGCGTGTACATCCTTTGCCTGCAGGTGCCAAACCAGCAACCTCTGTTGATCCATGGGGAGCCCCCGCAGCATCCTCAGCTGCCCAGCCTCTCCCAAAGAATGTAGATCCTTGGGCTCCTTCCCAGCCATCGTCCGTGGCAACCAAAGCAGCCATGGGCCCTTGGGGACCAGCACCAGTAAACAAGCCAATTTCTGCTTCTGGTAAGTAGCCCGCCTGCTTTCCGTTTCTTCTGAAGAAACCTGTTTTACTGGAGGCTAGGCCTAACTCTGAAGGCATGCTCTCTGGTGTGTATGCGGGCTACCCTTTTTCTTTGGCAAGGGACTGGACATTGGATAGAATCTTTTGTTTTCATACAGATGTAGTGTTTAGAAATGTAACAGCCCGGCTCAAATGACGGGAATGCTTTTTAAAAGGGATAGATGATGGTTCTCTCTTCTCAGTAAAGGAGAAGTTGTGGGTATTATAAGGCTTTCATTTTATTGTCCAGTCATTTCCTGGACATTTTCAGGGGCCTTACTAGGACAGAGGCATTCCTGTGTCATGGATCCTATCAGCTCCTCCGTCCATAAGGCCATGGCTAGCTTGGTCTGCTTCTTGCTTTGAGGGGTGGTTTTGTTTCTCGAAAGAAATCCAGTTTAATCTGTCTGGAGCCTCATTGGCTCATATGCAGGGAATTCACTCCTGAACTCTTGGGTGGGCTGAAGGCACACAGCACAAGTATCCTGCTGAAGCTAAGTAGGTTAGGTCATCCTGCAGGGGTGAGGAGCTGGTGGAAATATGGAAAGGCACAGATCCCAGCCTCTCCAGTCAGGGTGGCCAATGCTGAAGGATTCTGGGGAGGAGTTTTGCAGTGGGGTGAAACTGGTTATCTTGTCCTCCACTAGTGAGAGAGCATTAACACCCTGATTGTGGTATAAATAGAGGAAACAGCATTTTCTAGGATTATAGATGAGAGTCCTGGCCGTAGTGGCAACTAAGAAGAGGACATTCTTGTTTTGCACTGCAGGTAGTAAATCTTTCGACCTCTTCAGCAATTTGAATGGGACAATTAAAGATGACTTTTCTGAATTCGACAGCCTTCGAACATCTAACAAGCAAGGTATCTTTGAAATGAACACCATAGTAGGGTGCAGAAAAAGTGCTTGAACGCTTGATATGAAAGTGCTGCTGAAATACCTTAATACACTTCCCCAAATTAAAAAAAAAAAATCACAAGGGAGAACATTATTCCTGTGAACTTTGAGGCTTATGTAAATGAAATTATTTATGAAAGGCCAGTATTATCCAAAGGATTTCAAAATTCTCTTGCTTGACTATGTGTTGGACTGCTTGCTATTTTGATCATTTTAATCTGGGGGACCTTTGAAGCTGTTGACCCAAAGCCTAGAGACCACTGAAATTGTTACTGTGACTTTCAGCTGCAGAGAATTAGATCTTTCTTTTTTTCCCCTTCATGCTTCTCCATAACCCTAATCCCCGGCCCCCAGCCCAGGAACTCCTCTGCACACACCGGTGACATGAAGAGGGGTCACGCAATAAGAATGCTGAACGTGGCTTTTGTTTTGCGACTTTCAGTATTGATAGTTTGAAGTTCCAGTGAATTTTGTTCAATGCCTTTTGCCGTGAGGCATTCTTTCTGCACTACAACTGGTGTAACTATTGAGTAGTGGGAATTCAATCAGAATGTGGTTTTCCAGTGAGCTTGGACGTCAACACGTGCCCAAAATGCGGCCTGCTGCAGTGTGGCGGTGCCTTATTCCAGGTCAGACATACTTGGCAATCTTCTCCATATTGCCCCCTTTTAGTGGCAGCTGTGCTGGAGACCCGGGCAGATAAAGGACTTTCCCATCACCTCTTTCTGATTGCTGTAACTGAAGATGCTGAGAATTGATCCGGAGATATTCTGCCTGCAGAGAACTCCCTCTTTGCAGCGTTGGCTGTATTCCACCATCTTTCAAATACAGATTTCCCATCAATTCCTGCATCTTGGTGGCATCAACAAGTAAATTCAGTGCTGAACAAAACAAAACATAATCTGCCTTCATCTTGTACTTCATACTTTGGTGAAAGAGTTTGTGTGACCTGGCCAAGGCAGGTCAGATTCTGCTGTCTCTCTCTCTCTCTCTCTCAAAATAATCAGGCCCTCCAATTCTGGGGCAGGACTGAATGCAGAACTTTATAATGGTGATAGAATAGGGGGATCAAAAATCTGATGCTTCTGAATGTCTTCTCCATAGAGACAATTAATCCGTGTCTGTATCCAACAGCATTCTAAAGAAGGATACTAAGGTCAGTCTGTAGAAACTTTCTATTATCTTACCCTACAATTGCAATTCTAGTGTCCTAAACTTCTCCAAGATAGGTAGGATTCATGTCTGACCTGCTTTAGGTGCAAGATGCTTTAATGGGCTTGTTAAATGAAATACTTTGGGAACTTTTTAAAAGAATGACAACTGCAGACTTAAGACTCTTGTGGTTGAACGCAACAGTGTCCTTAGTGTCTGGGTCAGGTTAGGGTTTCAGTCCTAAATACCTCTCGTTGAAAAGAACACCACTGGGCTTCACGTCTATCTATGTGGGACTGCAGTCCCTTTCAATGAAGCAAAAAGATGAGTAAAGCAACCACATAATGTTTAAGGAAAACTTCTGGCATAATAGGGGATCTGCCTTTTTGAAATCCCATCTTTTTAAGGAGCTGTACTTTCTTTCCCCTGATCCAGGTTCTGCTTTGTCAGCTCAGAACAGTGGGACCACCAGCCCTGACCTCTTGGAGTCCCAGCCTGCTAACTCCTCTTCAAGTAAACAGAGTGCAGCTCGGAAAACCCCTGAGTCTTTCTTGGGCTCCAATGCTGCTTTGGTGAATCTGGATTCCTTGGTATCTAAGCCACCCCAACCAGCACCATCCCTCAATCCTTTCTTGGCTCCAGGTACATCTTCGTGCTGAGGGTGAAGTTGCTGTTTCTTTGAGAGTGGAATTGCAGTTCTTAAGGTGAAAAATGTGCACATCAGGCTTGATTAATGAGTCTGCTAACTTTAATGTCAGTGGTGTGGACTGGGTCATTTGAGTCAGCACAGTGGCTGATTTCACGAGCCTATTGGTAGCTTTGAAACAAGGGAATCAGAATATATCCCAGCTGTGTTTTAAGGAAATAAACATTCTGCATAGAAGAGGACAGGGTCCAGAAATGCAAAGTGTGTTCTTGGAGTCAGTTGAAGCATTGTTTTAGGGCAGTGGTCCCAAACATCATTCCTGGGACAGCTCTTTATTTTTTCCAGCATCTGCCCCCCCCCAAAAAAAATTCATCTTGTGCACTCACAGTCTTGTGATACACATCCATCTTGCCTATGTTAAGCTACTGTTCAGTGTGAATTAGGCTGATGAACTGTGCAGGAGTTCTACACATTCCAGTTACTTTTGCCCTCCCTGCTTCATTACAAGCTAGCCCTGAAACTTGGGGGGCAGAAAAGCAAGCAGTCGAAAGCTGCTGGGTGCTCCCTAAGAAAGCTTTTTAACTGAGTCTTGACTTGGGCATTTGATTGGATGCCAGGAGTACAGTGACCAGATGCCAACACCAGCAGCAGTGTAAAACTATAGCAGAGGTTATGGACTGGGGTCTTTTTCCTTCAAGGGGTCTGGAATATTGGTTAATAGTCCCCCCACTTCCAGCTTTGGTGGCTGAATGCTCTAGAGTCTCTGCTTAGTGGAAGGTTTGGGAGAATTGACTGGATGCTGTCTTTCGGAGGAAATGCTGGGATAACTCTGGGGCTCCAAAGCAGCGGGAGGACCTTGGTTCCATTTCCATCTGGGTGAACATCAGACAGCGTCCCTCTGTTGGGCTGCTAGTTAGCCTTGTGTTGAAGGTTTCTTGGAAAATGGTGCCTTTGCAGCAACTCATGGGGGCGTGGAGTCCCTACCTTATGCTTATGTAGATGTTTGCTTTCAGACTGGACTCTGTGAAGGTTGGACTGACTCTTCCCTCCCTTCTTCTCTGCTCCCAGGATCCGTGGCGTCAGTGGCTTCTCCTTCTGCAGCTGCAGTCAACCCCTTCCAAGTGAATCAGCCTCAGCCCCTTACTCTCAATCAGATGCGGGCCAGTCCCATCCTAGGGAGCAGCCTGTCCTTCAACGCTGTGCCGGCGGCGGGGCTGGAACCAGGACCTCTTCCTTCTGCAGCCCCTGTGGCCCTGGCCCCCATGCCAGCCATGGGCACGGTGACCTCTCTAACCAGGATGGGCCAGGGAGTGAGTGTGGGCATGGTGGGGTCCATGGCACAGCCTCTTCACCACACTGGGATCCCTCCCTCGGTTTCCCAGCCGGCAAACGCTACTAACCCTTTCCTCCTATAAAGCCTCACTTGGGAAAGGTTTGCAGAACATTGGAGGTTGGCTTGGGCTGAACCGTGAGCGCTGGAGACGTGGGTGGCTAGGCTGGCGGGCTGCTGTTGCATTCTTTGGGAGTTCCTTGTGCCCTTTGCCATTTAATGAGACCTGCCCTTTCGCTGGAGATGGTACTTTCTGTTTTGGCTCATGGCAGCCCTGCAGAAGGGCTTCGGTGTTCCTCACCAGTCAGGTTTCTACTCCCCTCCCCGCCCCCCCTTCCCTCCCCCCTTTTTGTTAAACATTTCAAGGTAATAGACTTTGCCATCTTAAATAGCCCCGTTGTCCCGTAGACCATAAGCTGCACTCCTAAGTGCTACAGCCCAAGCCAGTCCAAATCCCATGCGTGTAAAAATACATTTGAGACTCGAGAGTGCTAGTGAACATGTTTGCACATAACCACATACTCTTCTAGACTGTTGGTTCACCCATAGTCCTTATAATTCTTGGCGAAAGAGGCATCTGGCGTACCCAGACGTTTGTTTCTGTATATCCTTGCACACTAAAATGTTGTAGCGCAAAACTGTACCCCCCTTTTTTCCCCCTCCGAGGACTGGGTGGGAAGGGTTGGTGTGGACAGAACGAGCAAGCTTATCCAGAGCAGGAGAACAGGAGCAAGTTCTGTGAAGTCCTGCAAGTTTTTGTGAAACCCTTCAAGTGTGCTGTTTTGTATGCAGTGTTGAATTTCTACACTTACACGGACTGTCCACGACTTCTGTCTGAATGGCTGGCATGCTGCACTTGTGTTCAGGACTGGTTTTGGCTCTGTGCTTGTCTGATAGTGACTTCATTTGGAAATTATTATACATGCTCTTTTAATTTAACTTGCAATGCAAGTTTTAAAAAGTGTATGGTGGAAAATACTGAGGTAATATGGTGGGAACTGATTTTGGGTGACCTTTTGTTATTATGCAGTAATCCTTGTATACTTTTGCACTTTTAAGGATAGTACCGTTTTGGGTTTGAGTTGGCAAGGTCGGCATTCTGTTTCACTCTTGCTAATTTTTATAATGTTCTTATTTAACAGTCAATAGTTTTGATAGACTTATCAGGTTTAGTGGAAAAATTAAGATACCGTCTTTCTTTTCCAATTCTTTCTTTTTTGGTTTAATGTCTCTTATTTATATATAAATATTTTAGCTCTTGGTTTTCATAAAGAGAATTTTAAAGGGAATATTGACAAACCTTCTGCTTTTGAAAAAAGACATTTGTATTGAAAATTGAAATGCTCCTGTGACATAAATTTCAAGAGGAATATGGCTAAGATGACATTTAAGAGGAAAACACTACAGTTGCCTTTCCGTTTCCCTGTTTTATGAATACATCTTCCCCACTCTGTGTAGAAAAACTCCTGGAAACCTTGGACAGATAGAAGATCATGGAAAAATAAATGACTTCTTGTAATACTTTCAGCAACTTAAAAAACAAAACACTGCTGTATGAATGTTACTTCTACTTAACTAAATTCTTCTAACTAAAGATGCACTCCATGATGATAAGTGGCTCTGTTTACAGTCTTCACTGAAAAGTAAACTTTTGATTCTTTGGGCTCATTTTTTTCACTAAGCCATACTCAGGTTTAAGTGGTTACAAACTGCTTGAAAATTCTTTTCTTTTCAAATGGCAACTCTAAGAAAGCACACGTAAACATAACGTGTGTGCCCACATACAGATGTTCTCAGCAGAGCTCGATGAGGTCTCTTGATACTGGAGCCTCACTCTGTGCAGTAGAACATCTGTTGGGTGGCTTTTAATAATTTATTTTTAAAAGAAAGAAAGATCAATGTCAGGAGGACTCTGCTGGTTGGTAAAGTTTCTCAAAGGGTGGTGTGTGGCTTGAAGATGGCAAGAGGGGCCCAACTGCTGGTGACCTTGAGGGGAGATATCTGTGATACCCAGAATACCAATGTTACACACAGACATTGTGAGGTTAATTCAGACAAGCAACAGCTTTCCAATTGCTGCTGCCCCCATTTCTCATTGTATTTCCTTTAGCTTGCTGCAAAGTTGTGTTTGATACCTCACAACAGGTCATTTCACGCTGAGTAGCAGTGAACACCCTAGATTGGCCTTCTCCCACCCAGAACCTCTTCCAGCTTCTGTCCCTGTCCTATGTGGCCAGTGTGGTCTTTATAGTCCCTGGAGAATGTCTACTTGAAAAAGGGCTTCCTAATTTATTTTTGCCCAAGTGGAAAAAATCCTTATTTTCTGGAAGCTTGTACTATGGAGCTAAACCAGGTAAGGTATGCTAAATAAGTATTTTATCTGAAGTCAACAAAAAAAGTTTTTGACTCATGTTGATTTTTTCTTAAGTAGCCAAAGTTTTTTAAAACTCTTTTAAAAGAGCTTCAGTTAAACATGACATCTTCCTGGTAACGCTTTCTTTCAAATTAACATAGACTAACAACATTTACTGTACCTTCTTTTTGGCCTCCTACCCCTTCTTCCATGAAGTGATCTAAGCTTTGGAATGCTCCAAAAGGGACTTTTTTAAAATTAAAAAAATTCTTTTATTTGTTCAATTTCTACCCTGTCTTTCCTCTAGAAGCTTAATGTGACATACACAATACCCCTCCCCTTAATTCCAGCCCCTGCACAACCTAAGGGGGTAGGTCAGGCTGAGAGCACAGTTGGCCCCAAAGTCACCAGTGAACTTTCATGGCTGACGGTGGACTTAATTCTACCAGTCAGAGATCAACAAATCTGTCTTTCCTTCTTGCACTGAGTTTTGGAGCATGAGAAAAGATGAGAGACAGACAGACATGGGTAAATGGGTAAGGATTAGTGATAGGAGATGGAGTGGTCTGGTCACGCACACAGAGAAAGGGACAAGGATAAAATTCTAGGAACCAGATGGGCAATTCTCCAAGAACAGCCTTGTCTGGAAGCCCCCTAATTCAAGCAAAAGTATCACACCCATCCTATTTCTCTGCCTCCAACTATTTTTAATGCATATTTTGTATGATTATTGCTTAAACTGTGGAGGAATATCTAGTCTGTTTTGGTTTTTGTGGCAGAATCTTGCAAATGTAAGGAAACACTTCTAGAATGTTTGAAGCTATTTTCTAAAACATTGGGAGCAGGCTACTTTTGATCTGTGCTGTTGAACTTTACTGTACGGCTATAATTTATCATTTGTACCGTTGTATCATAACGTTCCCTTATTGCAGAAATGTGATGGTCACTCAGCCGTAGAAAGGTGGGGCTTGTCAGAATTCAGTGTCTTGTCAGAATTAAACACGTATTGCTTATATATTCCAGACTGTTGTGACTTTTCAAATGCTAGCTGAGATGTCCCTCATCTGGGGAAGGCATCTGTTTTTTTTTTTTTTTTAATTAACATCTCTGTGCCATTGGCACGCATGGCATGTGACGGGTTCCCCCCAGTGGACTTCCAATCCTGGAGGGTCATGGAGTGGGGAGGCTGGGATAAAATGGGAAGAAGGTGCAACTGGTTGAGGTATTCATACTTGGTTTGGTGGCTGAGGGGGTGGGCTGGAAGGCTCAGCAGGGAGGGGCAATGGGAAAGGCCTGGAAAACAAGGCAGAAGAGGCTGCAAAGGAGAGGGGATGGAAATGTGAAGGACCTTTGGGTTAGCTGGGCTCTGATCAGCTTGAGTTGTCTCCCTTTGGAGTTTAGCATGAGGTGAAACTGGTCTTTACCAGTAACGGGTCTCTGCACTTAACGTGTTGGATCATAACTCACATCACACGAGCTGGGTTGGCTGAGAATTATGGTGCTTGCAGTCCAGCACGTCTGGAAGACACTAATTTGGGGCAGGAGAGGTGATGATTTAAAGACATTGGTGGATGTCGCCATCCTTTAGAAGACCCCTTGTGCTGCTCTTCCCTGGTGGCCGTGGGGTGGGCCCGATTACCCGGGGAGGTTTCTCAGTCGCTTCGCCCTCTTGGCTGCTGTGCCCCTGGCCTTCCGGATGGGAGTTGGTTATTTGGGGGTGAGGACTCTGGTTTTGTTCAGCATCTGCTGATTCCTGGATGAAGTCTTCCTCAGAAAAACCTGTTCTGAATGTTTCACGGATGTTACAGCTGAAGTTTGTAAGAGCCACGATCTGTTTCACTGGATGGCTGGAGGGTTGTCTAGCACTAATCAGGTCCAGCCCTGCTCAGATTTTTTTGAGGTCAGCCAAAATCAATTAGATGCTGCCAACTGCTGTAGCACCCAGTAGGGTTGGCAGAGAAAAAAATGACCAGAGCGACGCAGACATTCTGCAGTCTTGTGAACGTGGTTGTTCTGGTCCCTTGAAGAACGGGGCTGCCTTCTCTCCCCATTGTATTTTGTTTTTTTGTTTTTTTCAAGATCAAGCCATCTGTTTGCTCCTAAACCTGACATAGCAGCAAATGTGCACCCCCCGAGTTCTGGCTCTCCCTGTTCTCCCAGCAGAACATTTTGTCACTTGTCCTCCTTGATTTGCACACAGCTTGTTTCTGAAATGTGTTTTATGCACTTTTGTAATAGTTCTTCCAATTCTCCTTTTGTGATAATTCTGCCTTTGATTTAACTCTTCATCAGTTCAGATACCAAATCAAGCCTTTGATCAGGCAGACTGTCTGCCTTTCTTTAAGTGGAAAACATACTTCATTTCGTCTGCAGCCAATGAGCGCAGTTAGATTAGCACTCTGGTGTTCAGCAAAACAATTTACTTTGGGAAGCTCAGTCGGCAGACATCACCATTAGTGTTGCAATTCTGTGTCTTAATCTGTTAATGACCTAGCTGGCCCAGATCTTACCATCATTTCATGGGGTGGGGACACGTAGGCTAGTGCTAGAAAACATGTTTAGTGTCCGGAAGACCTGGCAGAACCTTTGGTATCTCCTATTAGAGGATATCAAGTAGCAGGTAATGGGAGAAATTTTCTGAGTTTGATGTCATTGACTGTTGAGATGGAGAGGAAAGCCCACCTGAATTTGAAAGTGACCATTTCAGCTCATATATAGGAGAAAGGACAGTAACGCTCTGGTGGCATTTGAATCGAACCTCTGCAATTCCTTTGCTTCCTTTGGTTTCTCCGGTGGCTCAGGTAAGACTAGAAGAGCTGCAGCTCACACCCAAGCGTGTCTGGTTAGCCCCCTCTGTCCTATCCTGGATGGCCAGCTGCTTCAGACTCTCCTGTTCTTTTTCCCTTGCTAATGATGCCAGAAGAAAGGCAAAATTCACTGGGGCACCAAACTCCCGAGGTTGTAGGGGTGTGGAGGAAGTTGGGACGTTCTGGCATTCCTGAGCTGCTTTGTTCAGCAATGCTATGACTCTCTTCTTTGGATCCCTCCCCGGCATTGGGGAGGATACCTTTTGCTTGTTTTCCACCATGACTTACTGGATTTCCTGCAATAATCAGAAGTTCTTGAGATGTTCCGAAGCTGCCATTGTTACTTGGGTTTGACACACACACACACACACCCCATGGCATAAAACCCAGCACCTTGTTTTCAAAGAAGAAAAGCAGATGAAGCTGTCTCTGGTATCCAAGTCATGATGGTCATTCTCTGGTTGGTAGAATATAATTGCTTGGAGAGTAGCAGAGTGTAAAACAATCTCAGCATCCACTTTGCTGTGTTAAAATCTCTGGCGATCCCACTGTTCATTATCCTCTAAGCCTGCAGACCAGATAGAAGCTGGAATTTCCGGAAAAGATCAGTGTGATAACCATTATGAAAACAGGAAGTTACATGCACGTGAGGAAAATACTTGGTTAAAAGAGGGAAGATCTTGGCACCCAGCATTTCCTTTCTGGGAGATTCTTTTGCACTTGATTTCCACAAAGAAACCAGGGATCCTCTGCTTCTATGCTGAATTGAAAAATGATCTAAGTTGGCTTTTGTGGCAAAGAGAAGAATGGAGGCAGCCTAGCATTTTACTGAAAACATCTTTTAAAACAGCCACTGTCGGTTCATTTTATAGGCCCTCACCCCATATCCGGGATTGGCTTCATAGCTGATCAACTTCCAGAATCAACCCGCCCCCTTCCTGGAGCACTGTTTGCAATGTAAGAAGGGCCACAGATGTTGTATATTCCTCTTTGGAATTAACACAGCAGTAAATTTAACATTCCCCCATCTGTCTTAATTGCTGCAGTGGTTGGCCTGTTAAAACTTCGCTATTCCCAGGGGTTTTGCCAAATCCTTCCAAAATAGTTTAACTTCCCCATCTCCAATTCTGTGTGAAATATCTGCACTCTTTGCTGTTAGCTCAACCTTCAAGACTTCCTTGACTCAGCCTCAACTCCTGTGATTCCCTTGGCAGCGTTGTGGAAGTAGTTGCCACAACCTTCCAACCTAAGGTATTGTAGTTGGGTCTGGCCAAGCTAGAAGGCAGTGGCCAAGGGCTTCTGCCCCCATATGAAAGGCCTCTGGCTTATAAGGTAAGAGGGGAGATGAGGGTTGGATTCCAAGTGAAGGTTTCTTCCTAGAAACCAGAGGACGCATCCTTCACCTGGTGGCCGCTGGACACGTTCAGCAGCAACTCTCAGCTCTTACTGTTGGACCAAGATGGGGAAGACGAATGGAGACAGCTGCAGAGTTTGAGCTGGAGAGCTTGGGTTTTTTTAGGCTCTAGCTCCCCCTGCCGAATTAATTCTGACTTTAATAAGGCTGTTGTGTGGCCAAGAGCCTCAACGGCAGGTGGACTCACCAGACGAGCTTCTATTGACTGAACTGCTTTTTCAGTTTTCTACAAAAACTACCCACCATTTGCTGTTTTCCTGCTGGGATTACACAACGAACAGGTTTATCAGTGTGTGCCATTTTTTTTTAAAGAATCCTGCACTAAAGATCATATAGAAATCTGTTTTGTCAGTAAATGAAATAATACATTTATTTGGAAAATAGTACAAATTCCTAAACAGAGTTGTATTTTAAACTGCAAATCGAGTCCACAGTGAAGACTTTTACTGGGAGAAGAGATTCTTATAAAACCTGTAACTTAAAAAAAAAAATTAAAACCAGGGCTTTGTTTTAAATCCTACTTGTCATACTGGAATTGGAAATAATTTGCATATTTTAAAACTCATTTCTTCTTTCTTCTTCCTACTTCTTACGCTCCCACAGACGCAAACTTCAGCTTGCCATGTCAGAGTGCTAACATGGGACAAATAGTAAAAAAATGGTGTCACTGGAAAGTCTCATTTCCCATCCAGCCCCTCCAGATGAACACTGACTGTCTGGTTGAAGTTGTGTGTGTGAGAGAGAGAGAGTGTGCACATACAAGCAGAAATAGTTTCAACTCAACTTGTAGCAGAAGTCCACTTGAAAGTCAGGGATGTTTCTGTCCCGCACAGGAAATGCCCCTAAAAGCAGAGCAGTTGCTCCCTGCCCATCTCGAAGGACAACATACTGCAAACGGCTTATTGTAGCAATAGCTGGCTCAGCAGACCCACACTCTTTGCAAACCCTTCAGGCATTGTGATTTCTATACAGCTGCAGCGGTTTGGTCTGGTCCGAGTTCCTCTTCCTTGGTGGGTACAGAAATGCTTTTGTCTGCTGTCTTTGATCAGCTCTGTTGGGAGTTGTGTCTTGCAGGCCAGCGTCCGCCCAAAACTGCCAGTTTAGAAATTGTGCATTCCGTCTGTCACCGAGGTTAGCGAGGAGCTGGCGAGGTTTGGTGAGCTCACGTCGTAGCCTAGTTTCTTCATGTCCTTGGTCACCACGTTGAAGGAAAGAGTGACAAAACCTTGCGAGCGCACTCTGGTCACTGGAAGGGAGCAGCTGGAGAAGTAACTAGGCTCTTATAAAACAATACCATTAAAAGACTGAGCGTGCCTGGCCTTTTAAGAGGGCAAGAACAGAAGTGGGAAGTGGACTTTGAGTTACCTTCCATGGTTTGTACTGTGCAACCAGTCCAGGCACAACTGAGAGGGGGTGAACTGGGTCAGGCCCAAGCCCCAGCCCCTTCTTGTTTGGGCTTCTGTTGGCCAACTGGGTACGCTGGGAAGCCCCATAAGCTGGGATGGAGTGCAAAAGCATGCATTCTTCCAAAGGCTTGGAATTCTGTGCCACAGCTGAGTCTCAAGCAGTCTTTCTCCCTCACCATACTCTCTGCTTTCTACCCACCCTAAACTTCTCCTAGGCTGACATCCCTGGCAGAAGTAGTCTTGACCATAAGCACGCTCTGAATTTTGGCAACATTCTCTCTTTGCTTTGTCCTTCCCTTGGGGGGCTGGACACACGTTTTTCTCTCTCTATCAAAATGCATCTTTGCCTGCCAGGACACGCCAGGCGTAAATACAGAGCGCAATTTCCAGCATTCCCAAGCACTCACCTTCACGGCCTTCACCCTGGGCTACCACCTTGGGGTCAGTGAACTCTGGATATCTGCCCGTCAGCCAGCTGGGACAAAGACAAAAGGAAGGGGCTGAGATGTCAAGGAAGTCACCAACCCGTGGTCCAGTCAGCCCAAGTCCTGAGGACTTAACACCAACAAATGTCTATACAGCCCAGCTCCCACAATCCTGGAATTTCTCTTCCATAAATCCACCTGCGTGCCCACCACTAGCTCTCTCTTGCTGAAAAATCACAACGAAAGCCACCAAGTTAGCCCCATCTAGTTTATCACAAATTCAGGTGGGGGTTCATTGTGGAAATGAAAGGACTGGATAGAGGACGTATCTACTTTGCCCCAGCTCTTTGCTCCACCTCGTGTGGCTCAGGACCAACTCTCGTCTGCCACGATGAGCCAATAGGATCCCACTAGAACTTCACAGACAGCAAGTTAATTACCAGTGGTTAATTAGTTAGCAGACTATGCCTGCTCAGGGCGAGGTTTCTTTAGGTGTGGAACTGGTTCCTTACTCCCAAAACATAAACCACTGTGTTCTCCACCAAAGTAAATATCCCATTAATCCTGTTTCACATCAATCTTCCGTGAAAAAGTGTGAGGGATGGAGGAAGAGGAGTGCATGATGGAGGAGCCAACTTCAAGCAATTGGAATACATGTTGCTATTTCAGGAGGCAAAGAGATGCAAAATGTCTCCTCCTGAAAACAGCAGCTATTCAAACTTTTTACAAAAGATGCAGCCACCTTGTTAATTTTTGCAGTCTGGAGGTTGATTCTGGAACGAACATTGGGAGGACTCTCTCGTGCCTGAAACGGAATTTAGGCAATCAAAAACTAGCAGCTGAATTGACAAATGGAAATGCTGAACCCCACGCTGAATCTGGTCCTCCTTCCCACGCCAACCCGCCACTTCCACCTCTATCGCAGGCAGGAAAACAAATTTTACACGTGATTGATCATCACTAATAAGGTGACAAAAAATTTACAATTACTTCCCTGAGTCTCCGGTGCCCCAAAGAATCAAATACTGTTGACTAAATTATAGTATAAAAAATGACAAGGTTACTTTTGTGCATCAAAATCTTCAATCACACTGAGAGCCGGCACAAATATAGAGGTCGGACAGGGTTGTGATGGACCTACTTGCGGTAAACTCACCTGCCTGGTGTAAAAGGGACATGCACAGCTCCGTATCCCCGAACCACGTCATTCCCAAAAAGATCCGGGCCATACACACTGATGACTATCTGCGGCCCTGTGAGAACAGAAAGGACAACACACACCAGGTGTTCTTGCCTGTTCCACAGTTTGGTGTTGCATTGCCCAAGGATGAGTGATAGGGCACAAACTGTGATGACATCTGTGAAGTCAGGCCTGTGACCTGCAGCGACTAACAAATGCTGCTGGATTAAGCCACGAACCGGACGTTGAACACCCACCCCACCCCACCCCACCCCACCCATTCCTTAGCAAAGCTTTACGGAGATGGGCTGGTGGAACTTCTCAGTAATTCTGGAGCTACAGGTGATAGAGAGTCCCAGAACACTTAACTATTCCTCTTAAATAATAGGGCAAGACCTTCTTGCAAGGACTTGGACTCCCCCACCCCTCACCCCCATCCCAGGCAGAACTTTAAGGATTTCACACAAATCCCAGGTGGTGTCAAATTCTTGCTAGCCTTGTCAGGAAGGACAGAAACGAAAACCCGATCAGAACCGGTCAGCTCCTCTCCTCCTCCTATGCTTATGATAACTTATCGATGCCACTTTTAACCAGCACAGCCATGGCTCAAAAGCCCCCAGGCTCAGTTCTGAGCGACGGCACAGGAGGTCGCAGAGGCCGGGTCTCCCCTCCCCAGATCCTCTCCACCTACAGCCAAAGGGGTTGGTGCTTTTGAAGGTGACGTCGATGGGGAAGTTCCACACCAGGTCTCGCCGGGCGTTTCGGTTCTTGGACGTGATCTGCGAGATGCCTTCTTCCAGACCCTACGGGAGAGCCAGGGAGAGAAGCGGAGCCGTCTTTGGCCGCCCCGAGAGCCGGCCCAAGCCCAGCGGCTGGACAGGGTTCCTCCCTCCGCCTCCTCGCGACGCACTCACCTGCCCGGCGTAACACGGGGCGCGAGCAGCTGCGCACCCCGGAACCGCCGTTTTAGCCGGTCCTCCTTTTGCCGGGAGTAACCAGGCGCGCGCAGGACCCCCGTCCTTGCTTTTCCGCCCCCTTCTGCGCGCCTTATTCGCAGGAAGCGGCTTCAAGCCGCAAGGGGTTATCTGTGCGGGGACCGCCACGGGAAGCGGACCCCGGGGAGACCTACCGACGTCGGAGCCCAGTCGGAGCCGTACACGAAGCAGTACTTGCAGTAGAGGTCGTCGAACTCCGGAAACTGCAAAGAGGCGGCCTGGGTTTAACTGGGGCGGGAGACCCCACCCTCTCCGTGCCAAACCGTGCACGGGAAGCGCCAGGGTCTCCTTCCAGCGGCTGCAACAAGAGGAAGCGCCCCCTGCCCCGGAGTGCCTCCGTCTCTCCAGCCGGGGGTGGCCGAAAGCAGGCGGGGCAGGGAGGGAGGTGCCCCTCTGCAGCAGCCGGGGCTGTTCGCACCTCGGGAGCGCGCGGTGTGAGGAGTTGGTGGCGCCTTCCCCAACTGGGCGCCCACTGCAGACCCCCCCAACCCAGCTTGGAGGAGCTGTGGCGCAAGGCCTCAGGAGGCCGGGTGCGGGAGAGCATCGCGCACGAGCAACGCGGCTGCTCCTTTCCCACCCCTCTGCTCCTTCCTACGGCTGGAAACTGCACCCGCGCGGTTTGCCCTTAAAAGCGGCATCCGCTGGGTTCGTACCTAAACGGTGGGCGTCTATCTAGAACCGCCCCGATGGGTTTCCCTCCGTTACATTACGTGCGAAAAGCGGGGGGCCGAGGCTCAGAAGGGGGGAGGTCCTGGTTTTGCAGGACCCAGATTCGAGAGCCCGTCCTCCCCCCCCCCGTTGGACTTGGAATGCGCCACCGCACAGGCGGCGACCGGGTGGGAGATACCAAGTCCACCCCCGGACGGGGGCCGGCGAAGAAGCGCGCCGGCTCGCCTCGCCACCCCGCGACCCGGCGGACGAAGCCGGCCTGCTCGCCCACCTGCGCCCGCTCGATCTGCCCGCTGACCATGAGGAGGAAAACGGTGGGGCTGCAAGAGGCGGCCGCCATCGGGCCTCGCGGAGCGGCAGAAAGAGGCCCGTCGCTAAGGGCTTGTCCTCCGCCCTCCCTAGCAACGGCGGACGGCGAGCCCCTGGGGACAACTTCCGCCTTTGCGCGAAAGGGCGAAGTCAAGCCGGGCTCGAGTTCTACGCCAGGAAATCTACGCCGTTTGCGTGCCTGCCCCGTAATGTGCTCACGCGAGAGCCTCCGCCGCGGGACGCGTTCCTGCCTTTCCGGCACGCTTAGCTCGCGAAGTCCGGGGCGGTCCGGATTTAGCCCCCATCCTTTTGCTCGGGCACTTTGGAAAAAGGCCTCCGCCCCCCGCTTTCACGATGCTGAGCCCCCCGGGGGGCCTCCAGGGAGCTCGAACCAAACTTGCCCCTTAAAGCATCGTTTTAGCAACTGCATTTTATTCGGTGCAATACCGGTAGTAATCAGAGCTTCGGGGGGCTGCGAAGGGGATTCGCTAAATATGTGGAAGTGTTGAATTTACTGAACGTGATACTACGGCTTTGCAAAAAAACCCCCAAAACCTCGCTTGGAACTTCCACATATTATATAGCAGGGTTTCTCACCCTCGGCAATTTTAAGACGGGTGGACTTCAACCCCCAGATTCCCCCAGCCAGCATAGGCTGG